AATATACATAAAAAAGTATATATTAAATAATATAATATATAATATAATATAATATAATATAATATAATATTATATTATATATTATAAAAATTATTCAATAATTATATATTCTTTTTTATAAAAAAACATCAATTTTTTTTTTCTTTTATAAAATTTATAAATTAATCATCTAAATTTATCCATTCTCCTTATTATTATATTTTTTTGATATTTAAAAATATATTTTCTTCTAGATTGTCTTAAATATCTTATTTTATTTCAGCATTAAACAATTAGAAACTTAGGTAATTATCAAAAAATGATTCATTAAAGAATTTAATCACATCATTTTTAGAAATATAATGAATTTCTTTTATAATATTATTATTTTCTTAAAAATCAAAACTTTAATTTTAAATATAATACCAATAAAATTCTGCTTTTTCATTTAAATTTGAAAATTTTTTTGATAAACTCTCTTTTGTACTCTCTTTTAATCCTTAAAAAGTTATATCATCCATTTATTGTAGATATTGTTCACTGAATTCCTTTATCATTATTGTTATTTATTTCTCATAAATATTAGGTGTATTTTTGTATCCTTAGACAAGTACGCAATAATTAAAAATATCTTAAAAATTAATCAAAAAACCCTAAACTACATATCCTAATTACTATTATGTTCTCAATTTTTCAAATGCAAAACTGTGTAAAGGTTTTTATATTAATTTTAATATAGCTTTTTTTTTCATATTTATTTTGCCAAATTAAAATACTGTTGCTCCAAGGTTATTTTTATTATCCCCAGAAGAGTATATATTTCTATAAACAATTTTTTTATGTGGAAAAGAGAATATTTTGTCAATAGTAGTTTTTTTAGATAATGTATTATTTTTTAAATCAGAAGTTAGATTAAGGAAACAGTTTTTTATTATATTTTCTTTGGCATTTCCGAAAACAAAAAAAGTCAAATAAAATGAGTTTTTGAAGTTTTGTTAAAAAGAAATGAGCTTTGCGAAATCTAAATTTTGTATATTTTTTGAAATCTCTTTTTTATCGAAGTAATCTTTTATGAAAACTTTAAATAAAACTTCACGAAATTACTTAAAAATCATTTAATATTCAAATTATTTTATTTGATTTTCGATGTTTTTCTTATTTTTTTCAAAATCTTCTTCCTTTATTTGCACTTAGTTTAAGCTCTTTGAAATTTCTTTTATTATTTCTTCCAACAAAGAATCGAAAGTTTCCAAATATATCTTAAATCCTTATCTATTTGAAATTATTTCATATATAAGTCCACTCATTTCGTATTTAAAAAGATTCTTTTTTAAAATCACTTCGAGTTCATAGACAAAAATTTCATTCGATATTTTATAAAAAATATCTTTTTTAACTAACTCGTTATCAAATTATAAATAAATCACTTATTTAGGCTATTTAAATTCTCTTTTATTTACTTAAATGAATAATCTTCCGTTTTCGTTGTTCAAAATAACTTAAGGAGTTTCGAAATCTTAAAAAGAATTATCAATATCTTCCAAAATAGTATCTTTTAAAACAGGGAAATTAATCTAAGATATTAATTTTAATTTTTTTCGAAATTTAAAAAATCTAAAAGTTCCTTTTCGCTTAAAAATTTTTAAGTAAAAGTCAAATCATAAAGCTTGTTTTCTGTTAAAGGCATATTTTTGAAAAATAATTCGTTATTAGTTTTATGAATAATAATTATTTTTTCGGGATTACTTAAAATTTATAATATTTTTTCGAAGTGATAGCTATTAAATTTCTTCAATAAATTTTCATAACTTATAATTTCCTTGACTATTTTATTTTAGTTTATTATTTTAGAAAAGTCACTCACTTCATCCATAACTTAGTCTGTTTATAGATTTTATAAAGAAAATAATTTCTCGAGTATTTCTTTAAATTTATTATATTTTTCCTCTTTATCATTTATTTTTTGTATTTCTTATATATAATAAAAATAAATGCGTATTATTTCTTATATGTCATTTTCTATTTCATTCAATAGCTCTATATCTATTTAAAATATCAAAAATTTACTTAAAACAGTAATTTCTTCTTCTATATCTATTTCGCATTTGCTCGATAATTTTTTTTCTGTTAAATATAGGCAAAAGTTTGTTTCTTAGAATCCATAATAAAATAAATATTTTATAAATTTTAATGTCTTATATTCACTTTCTTCGTTAAAAGGAAGGAAGAAGCATAAATGAAGTTTATTTGTTTTAGCATTTTCCTTTAATTGTAAATATGAGCCTTTTTAAATAGGCACCTATTCAGTATACAATTTCGAATTTAAAAGAAGATTTGAATTTTATACTTTTTTCTAAAAAGAAGGTATTTGTGAAAAAAGATTTTCAATTTTATTTTTAATTGAATTTTAGTAAATAGAATCTACTTTTATTACCAAAGTCATATTTTCGGAAAAGTAAAATTTTTAAAGAAACTCTCTAAGGGCGAAGTATGTGTTTTTTGGATTCTTCATTAAAGAATAGACATTTCCACAACTAAAATTATTAAAAGGATGTTATTTATCACTTATACTAATTAATAAATTATATATTCTATAAGCTTCTCTAGTTAAACTATTCACATATTCAGAATCTACTGCTTATATTTCTCGTTCTAGTTAATCTTCTTTTAAAAGAGGGTCAATAAAAAATCGACTCCATACATCTAAGATTTACTCAAAATTATTATTTGTGCTTTAAAAATAATAATTTGTATTTCCACTCGCTGTATATGCATTAGTTGACCCTCCGTTTCTTGATATTAAATCATTAAATAAACTTTCATTTTAATATTTCTGACTTCCCATAAATAACATATGTTCTAAAAGATGTGCAAGTCCTTATAATTAGTCTGGATTATTAAATGAACCTACTTTTACGTCTAAAGAAGCCCCACTTAAGGGTAAATTAGGTTCAGATATTAAAAGTACCTTTAAATTATTTTCTTTTAGTTTTATAGCTTCGAATTTACTATTTATTGTTTTAGGTTTTATTATTTTATCTGTTATATCTTGCCAATTATTTTAAAAAAAAATTTCGTTCGAACTTTCTAAAGGTTTTTTAAATTATAAAACATTATATATTAGTAAAGTTAATAATATAAATGCTAATAATATTAAAATAGATAATATTAGTATTTTTAAGTTGGGTCTTATTTTTTAGTATATATAAGATTTCTGATATCTTTAATCAATTAATTAAAAATCATTAAAAGGTAGATTTTAATAGTCCTAATTTAATTCACCATAACTTACTTATTATTAGAGTTATATGGATATGTTTTTTACGTTATTGTTATGCATTTTTATAATTATTAATATATTAAAATTAAATATAAAATATTATAATATAATTAATATAATACATTATTATATATTATAATATTTATTAATAAATCATAAAAAATAAAACTATATATATTTAAACATTTATAAATGCAAACATATAATTTTTATTTTGAATACATTATAAAAAATTTATATTTATATTTAATTTAATTTTAAATTTATTTTTACATTAATTTTATTTTAATATAATTTATATAATTATTATATTATATTATTTTTTATTTTCATATTATTATTTTTTTTCTTAAAATTTTTATTATAATTATTATATTAATATTTTTTATAATTTTTTATCTTTATTATTTTCTTAAACTATATTACATAAATATATAATTATTAAATATATTTTTTTAATATTAATAAAATTTATTTTAAAATTTTATAGATTACTATTCTTTTATCTTATAATATTGAACGTTAAAATTTATTATTAAAAAAAATATTTTTTTTTAATTTATTTTTCATTTTTTTAATTTTTTTTTTTTTATACTAAATATTTTTTTCTTGAATTTTCATTTTTTCTTATAGAGGCAATTTATATAAGGAATTTGTAACCTAAGCTAAAATTTCTAATAAAAAAATACTATATTATTAAAAAATAATGTTTGTTAAGGTTTTTATTAACCGTAACATTTAAAAAAAAAATTAAATTTGTTATATTGAAATATTAAAAAAAGGCGAATAAGAAATAGGTTTAAAAAATAATAATAATATATATATATATATATATATATATATATAAATTATATATATATATATATATTATTAATTATTAAAAAATTAAATTTTTCATAATTATTATAAATTTTTAATTAATTATATAAAAATATATATATTTAATAATAAAATAAAAATACAATTCAAATTTTTATTATTTATTAAATATATTAGCATTTAACAAAATTCTATATTATTATTTTTTCTTTAAAAATACAATAATTTAAATCTGATAATTTAAAAATATTATTATTAATTTAAAAATTTTTATTTTAATATCAATTTTTCTAAATGATTTAGTTATTTTATCTTAATTAATTAATAAATATTAATATATTATATCACAAAAATTTTTAAATAATAATTCATAAACAATAGCAAATTTATATATACTTTATAAATATTATTTATAAAATCAAATATAATTTCTTTTTTCTTAAAAAAAATAAAAAAAATTATAAAAATAATATTAAAAATAATAAAAAAATTTATAATATAATATTATAAATATAGAACATTATTTAAAACCTCAAAATAAAAAAGCTGTCAATAATTAAAAAAATATTATACTTGAAATAAATAAAAATAAATAAACTAATAAATGAGTGAGCAAAAAAAATATTTTGTATAAAATGAACTTAACCATTACAATTAAATATATATATTAAATGGAAGTATAAATTTAGATAATGAATAATTAATAAGTATAATATCTTGTTTATTAGAAGAAATACTTCAAATAACTGATTAATAAGAAAATAAAT